GAATGTCTTCGGCGGTAGCCACACTGGAACTCGAACTGATCGATACGCACTGTGCATCCACTTATATAGCTGCAGTGCTTGCCTGTGGCGTAATGAGTGCCACGTCACAGTAGGACGTTGATTACGGTTACGTTAGCGTTGCGCGTTACGTCACCGCGTGACGTCACCGCGGAGGGGAGTGGCGGGGAGCGCTACGTTACCGTGGAGAGGAGGGTGGAGGGGGGTTCTCAGTTGCGCAACATGTTACAATGCCATACACCAAGGTATCATCAGAGAAAAAAGTTCCACACACCACAACAAACTGGCAAATCACCCAAACGACATACTACAGCCACTCGTTGAACCGCAGCACAATCGAAAACTCCGAAGATACTGGCCAGCTGACCTAGAAGAAAACTAAGGGGAACCCCCTCTGGGGAAGGGACCCATCACGTGATTAAAGGGCATCACAGCTCTTACGCCAGCAAACTAGCTTATAGAATTGTACATTCTGATTGCTTAATAAATAAATAAATAAATAAATAACTCATTATTTAATATATGTGTCATGTTTCATAAATTTTAACAGAAGTAAAACGGTGTTAGATCGCGAACGAATATAACGACAACTTCAGCTGAATTTACGACGGCCATAAGCCGTGTTCTGGATCGATTGTGACCTTTCTGAGGCTCCTATGTATGCAATCACTGGCATTTAGTCTCTCTCTGGATCTATTCCATTAATGATTACGTCAATTAGTTTGTCCGCTGAGGAGCCGGGATAATTCGGTCGGTAAAGTGACGGGCTACGAGCTGGAGGGTCGGGGTTCGATTCCTGGCAGAAGCAAAAGATATTTCTCTTTCCCATAGTTGTCAGACGGGCTCTGGGGCCCACCGAATCTCCTAAACGATGGGTACTGGGGATCTTTCCCCCGGTGTAAAACGGCCGAAGTGTGAATCTGACCATTCATCTCCGTCTATGGCTGAGGCAAAGAATGGTATGACTATACCTCCACTACCCCGTATGTCTTAATGACTTGGCGCGTAATTAATTAAACACAGGGACAACTGCACCGTTGAAGGTCACAACGAAGACAGGAATTTGACATTCCATTTGAAATGATTCAAGGACACTTCCTTCTTCTGCACGACTTTGCTTTGTACGAAAGCGGCGGCACAAAATATGAAGTGTTAAGAAAAATGTGTCAGCGTGGTTATTTTCAACATCTGTTGGTGTAATTCTTAATATAACTGAATGATGACAACATTGATTAAATGACTGAACTGTTATATATACTGTTCGAACACTAAGCGTGATTTCATGGCGTTTCATAAACATAGAAATGAATTTTCTAAGTGTAGCCTGGGGGTTGGGAAAGTAAATTTGGAGGCCAGAGCGGAATTATTGCTGGAGTTTGCGCTCTTGACAGGTTAAAATGCATCGTCCTCGACAGCTATAGCTCTCGCAGCGCGAGGAGCAGGCGGCAGTTGACAGAGACATTTTTCGCATAGGAATAGACGGTTTGTTCATTAGTATAATTATGGTTGGTGTAGAAAGGTCTTACAGCGTCAGACGTGTGCATATTCTTGAATCGCCTGCAATACATACTAGTCATTTTCTGCTTTGCTACTCGTCACGTGCAGGTACGTATTTTAAAACGTTCTAAAATTATTATTAATATTACAAATGTTATTACGAAACCTACATTTCAAATATCGCCCAGTTCGAAAAATAATTTTGAAAGTATGAAAGTTTAGATAATTAAGCGAATCCTTACAAATTGAATAGTAGGTAGTGTCACTATTTTGAGTGACTATAGACGGGGTATTGATTGGTGAATAGCTGTATTGACCACTTACATGTTGTAACTACAAATATTTATAACACAATTTCTGATTTCAACGCTACAAATCACTCCACGATGTCTTCTTAGTCCGCTTTCACCAGTCGTTGCTTGGTGAAAGTTCTCAACAGTGGCTGTTCCACTGCAGTGTTTTGACTAGACGTTTCCTGGTGACGAATCTTAACCATGGAGATTCTTCCGCTTCGTTAGTCACGCTGGTACCCCTTGGTTAACATTCAACACCTGAACTCTCAACTCAGATCTCTCACTCACAAGCCAGCTTCTTGGCGTCACTTCACTCATTTGACTGATTGCAGCTCGGCTGATGCCCTCGTTATATAACCTCGGGGAATCCAACAGAAAACACCGCCTCTATCAATCTTTCCATTCTTATCATGACGATTGACAAGCGATATACTGGATATCGTTTCTGCGGGAACGTGTTTACCGACCATTGCTTAGAAAAGGTCCTTTGTTTATCCGCCTATTGCATAGCAACGGCTGAACTCGTCCGTTTTGAGGTCTTTGTCCAGCAACGGGCGAATGCGCCACAGTAGTAACCAATAATTGATGTCAAATAATTTCATAAATGAATATTTGACCACTTAACATGCCAAACAAAATTAGCGAATTAACTTCTTTCACTTGTTTTCATCATGTCAGTTTTTATAGACGCGGGAAACCAGCCTAGACGTTAATGCTTCTTCCTTGTTTTCCGAAGGTTCGCGGTTCCTGATTGAGTTCTGCTGTGGTTTCACTGAGTCTCTTCCTGCAAATGCTGGGGTAGTATCTCGAAATTGGTCACAAGCGTTTCCTTTCACATTCTTTGTAATTTATCATATAGTGTTCATCTTATCATTCGATACTGTGTAGTCTCAGCTACTTAAAACGTCTTCAAGTAAACAACTTTCATAGAACTACTTTATGTATCTGGCAAACTTCATGTAATTCTCTTCTAGATGCACAGTAATAACTTCTGCCAATAAATAGTTATAAATTGAGATTATCCTCCTTTGTTTAAACCAAAACAGGCCTTATAAAAATTTGTAAGTAGGAGGTGGAAGATGAAGACATCTCCTCCCATTGAGACAGCATATTCATGTGCGTTTCAGTGATCATTAATTTTTTCTACGATACTGGACACTATATTCTGCACTATAACATCGTTGGTTTGATCCGTATTTTGAAGATATTATTTGAGGATCCGAACCCCTAAACATATACTAGCAGCTCAACAGCAGCTGGAGGCGCAATTTACTCTTCGTAGAATCGGCCTACACGTAAAATCTAAGAGTCCATCATGCAATGCATTATTCACACCTATAATCGCGGCAGACTAAAAATATTCCTTACGTTGTAACCAGCCTTACAGAATGAGAATGCCATAAACTGCTACATGCTCATGGTAATTGCATAGCTGAGGTCAGTGATAGGTGAGCATGAAGCAGTGAATGATTGATGATCGGAAGAAAATCTTGCCCCACTACCACGTTTTTCACCACGAATGTCACAAGAATTCAATTCGAATTCAGTCCGGGCCTCCACGGTGACAAGCCAGCGTTGAACCGCCTGAGCTATGTTAAGAATAATTTTCTTCTATATAAATATTCATATTCTTTATCTGTAGAGTTCACAATATATCACGTATTTCACTAACTTCCGAGAGTTTAAATGTAAATGTTGCATGTTTTTAAATAGTAAAATGTTTGTGTCACTAAATTATAGAATTTTTTGCTGTCTCACGAAAATAAAAAATATGATATCAGAAGTAGTGTGTTCTGACCTCCAACCAGGATTTGGAGAATCATAATTTGTTGATACGTTTCGTGGATACAATTAATATATTCAGAAAGTAACATACAGCATAACTAATTTCTGACGCAGACTAAAAGGAAGTACATTAAAACGTAATAAACTGGCCCATAATTTCTGTAGATAACGCACTTCGTCTGGGTCATATATTTCGTTAGAGTGGCATGTATTATGTATATTGGCATGTAACACGCACGTTAAGTCCTGCTGACTTGTGCCGCAGATTCAGTAGAATGCGTTACATTGGCATGTAACATATGTGTGAATTTCTTTACCTGTTGATTTGTGCTACAGTTTCAATTAAAATGAGATGCATTACACTGACATGTAACACGTTAACTCCTTTACCTGCTGGTTTGTGCCGCATGTTCCATTACAATAGAATGTATTGCACTGACATGTAAGACGTACGTTAACTCCTGCACTTCCTGGTTTGTGTCGCAGATGCCACTGAGAGATCTGGGGCTCAAGAAGCTCTGGAGCGCCGTCAAGGCAGGAAATCGCAGCGATTCTGGCGGAGGTGGCAGCAGCAACGGAGGCAACAGGTGCGAGGAGGCTGGACTTGGAGGTGGGGGCGAGGACCCAGAGCCTCGAGGTAGTCTCCCGGCCTGCTCACTGCCCCTGCTGCAGGTGTGGCCCAGTCAGGACTCTCCTCGTGGAGAAGCAGATGGTCAGAGCTTCGTGTTCCCAACGGACGACGGAGCGGCGTCGAGCGGTGAGCTGGGCCTGCAACATGACTCCGGCATCGATTCGGTACAGGTGAAGGTCATCTGTTTATTTATTCGGCCACTACGTTTTATTTAAGGGCGCTTCGTGACGTACGAGTATGTAACATCAATGGCAAAATGATTGGTAGTGACCAATTACACGTAGGAGGAACCGATAGTTTCAATCAGCTTCAGCTTATTGAGTTGTATTTAATTAAATTACATGTATCTGTGTCCACACAAATTCTTTACCTGAAGCCATATTGTCTTATATATCGAAAGCAGCTTTCTCATTTAAAAGAAGATTCTTCCCATATTCGTATTACCACTTTCATTAGTTCTGTTTTCTTCCACTCTAGTCCTGCAATCAACACCACTACCATACCGCTATTGTTACTGTTTCTCTATTTCTGTTCCCTGATAACATGAAATTAAGGGTGTACATTCTCCCATTTATATCTAATCCTAAAATTTTTCCAATATTTCTTTAACTCGGTTACATTTACAATTTATTATTTTCTTGTATGCCGAATCCTCATTTATTCTTCCCCCTTTGCTACCAGTACATAAGCATTTTTCTCTCCAATTTTTGTTTCCCAAAATATTAGTTTTATATGTTAGCATCTTTCACTCCCACACACTGGGGACACTTTCCTTTCCCAAACAACTCTGATTTCCAAATCTCTGCTTTCAATCAAGCTGGCCAAAAACTCTCATTTTCCATATATCCATCATTGCATTGCTCCGTATTCTACTTATGTTGCATGTCACATTAAGATTCCAATGACATATGTTCGCTTATATTGTAGAATGATTTCTAAATCATTACAGCTTTATGTAATGCCACATTTACAAGAATCTCTGATTTCTGCTAAATACATGCTTAACTCAGTTCCTGTAATCCCCCTTTTAATTACTTTACTCCTATCTCATGAGTCTCCATGTGTAACAGATGTAACCAGTACTTCACTGCCATCTCAGAACCTTGCCCCTTTTATCTCATCCTTCTGCCTCCAATTCTGCCACACCCGTAGTTACAGTTGCTTTCAAAATTTCTTATGAATTTTATCAATATCTTTCCATCCTCCATTTCAGCTCCAAATCTTCACGTCACCCATCACCTTAGATTCATTTAACACATCATTTACACTTTCCAAAACCTTTAACATTATGTCAGCCATTCTTATAGCAATAAGGATCTGTCTCTTGCTGTTTTTATGGTCTTTTGTCTATTACACGCTCCTCTGTTTTCTAATGCCACACTTATTCTTTTTCTTTTGCAACTACAGTAATTGAATCAGAACCTGTAATGGTAAGAAAGGTAATGTTTTCCCTGTGCTTAATTAGGTAACCACTACACCTTGAAGACATATTGGGGAGTGGAGGTATAGATCCACTTTTCTTGACTTCAGCACTAGATGGAGGTGAGTGATGAGTTGTACTCCCCTGCCGCTTTACCCCCGGGGAAAGAGTATTCTGTACCCATTGGATGTGAGACTGGAATCATAACCCACCCCGGGAGTAAAGGAATTATTGCGTCCATCTTCTTCTATGATGTCCAGTGTCCCGTCTTCCAGCGGTGTGATAACAGTGTGTTTACCACGGCAGGGGTTAAGGAACCGCCCTCCCTACATGATTATGCAATTTCCTTTGATACTCGTGTATCTCTTCCACCATTCGTTCTGTTCCTAATTGTTTCATTGTGTCACTGCTTCTTATATCCTCTTGTCTTCTTCTCTTAGCACCCACGTTTCTGCGTTACTTGTAAATCATTTCTTTCGCCTGCCACTTCTGTTTGCTTGTCATACATAATTCATCTTACTTTTGTCTCTAGTCTACGTCCTTTATTAAAACCTGTTATTTTATATTTATTTAAATTACATTTAAATTTCAATCTCCGCAGTACTTCATGGCTTGGTCTGTTTCTTTCTATAAATCATTAAATATAATGGGCGAAATAGCTAAATCATTTGCAAATAACAGTCCTAGAATTTTCTTTTCTGATATTGTCGGTGCATGTAAATTAATCTTTGCTAATATAATCCATGGCCTATCACGGTGGCCGCATAGTCTAAGGCCTGAAATGTCTTCGTCCGCTCGAACACTGGGATCGTGGGTTCGAATCCCACTCAGTGCATGGATGTTTGTCTCTGTTTATTCTGTGTTTGTGTTAGGTAGCGGCCTTTTTACGGGCTGATGCCCTGTCCAAGGAGTCCTACCGACTGTCTAAGATTAAGAAACTGAACTGAAACGAAGCGTTTCACGGATGTCCTATTCTCCAAGTGGGAGCAACAGGAATAGAAGAAGAAGAAGAGGAAGAAGAAGAAGAAGAACATAAACCATTACATCACCTGAAAGAGTGCTAATGATATAGAAGTTCAGCAAATAAAAATGTCAATCCTTTGCCTCTTAAATTTCATTAATCAGTGGCACTACAGCCCTTTGTTGGTCCCCGGCCTTTTCTTCATTTTCGTAATCTTTTTTACATAGACGGTAAGGTTCCTTGGACGAGTGACTCGGGACTCGAACCCGCGACCTTCCTGCTTGTAGCATAGTGGCTCAGTGAACTACGCTACCGCATGCCCCAGAGTTAAAGGAGATATAAATTGTATACCAGAAAATATGCCTCTTCTTAAAGTGTGATTGTTTCATTGTATGAGCTGAATCAGGAGTAAATTTAAATAAAATTTAATGGAGTATGGAAATTTTTAAATGACGTTTTTGGAAAACAAGCTTACTCCAAATTATAGTGCACTTCATTACCCTGTTGTTATTTACTGTTGGTGTAGTAATCGCTGCTTTCTTAAAAAATATATATAAAAACATATTCCAGTGCTCTGATGCTCGGTTTAGTCTCAATGTTGAAATATTTAATTCGCCGGCAGATGTGAGACTTGTGACGAGTTTGCCGGTACGCATCGGTGCTTCCCAATATGCGTACTGGCCAGAGAAGTACGTTATGTAACTGTTACTACGTCCTTTCCGTTTAATCTGCAGCTTATCTCTTGTAATATATTCTGCTCAACTGATGACTCCATAAAGCCAGTACCACTCATGGGCCTACATGCACGCATACACAAAGATCAGTGTTAACATCGGGAAACGTAATTTTAAGCAGCGATCTACGTGCCTTACAGTTGACGTAATCATTATGTGGGACGGGTTTCTCACAGAAGATTCTATTGATCTCAGCCTCGGCGAGAATTATTGGGTGAAACTAACGCCACTCTTGCAGCCACCACGTTTCAACAAATATCATGCGATCGATAGACATTGAAATTCAAATTGTGATTGCTATAGCTTTTGTAGACCAGGGTTGAGTTCTCGCGTGACGTGTGAACTTGAGGTGCATTGTGCTGTTGGCTGTCTGCAGGTTTGAAGCAGTAATGTACTCTAATTTTGCCACTTAAAATTCATGATAGGATATTAGATAGTCAAAATAATTTTTGAAGAGTTACTGCAGAATATTCTAGAAGTCTAAATACCGTGTTTCAGCCGGTTATGAGATGATGAGAAACAGCCTGTCTCGTGTTTCAGATTTGCGTTATGTTATCCATAATTGTACATGTTATATTTGTTTTGTATTAGTCTATAATGAATTGTTACCAGAATAATTAAACGTACACATTGAAGTATTTATACGCTGTCGAATAATGTAAACTTTCTCCCTTTGTTTAATTGTATATGGCTAGAGGAATTGATAGAAATTGGAATATTCTGCCTCAAGTTTGAAACTGTTGAAGTTGTTATGTTCTCCAAGAACGCATACACAAATTTTAATACAATTTACAATTCTTTATGCAATGTACCGTTGCCATCCCATTACTATTCCTATTATTTATGAAATATTTGTTAGGAGCAGTGATTTATGGGGAACCCTTCTGCAGAATATCTGCTCTATTGTAGAAAAGTATCGGTAAATCTTGAATGTAGGAAATAAAAAAGATAACTTTATTATTATTTACTGTAAATAGGTAAAAGTTGTCCTTGTGCTTAATTAATTGAACACCACTTCATGAAGACATATGGGGGAGTGAAGGTATAGTTCCACCATTCTTGACCTCGGCATAGAATACAGGTGTGTGTTCAGCTCCACGTCCTGACCGCTTTACGCAGGGGAAAAACAGCCGACGATCCCCATTGGATAGGAGTCTTGGTGGGCCCCAGAGCCGGTCTAAACGCTGTGGAGAAGACAGAAATCTCTTGGCCCTTCCAGGAATAGATCCTCGGCCGTCTAGGCCATAGCCTGTCACTATACCGACTGAGCTATCCCGGCTCCAGTATTTCAATTTTCTGAATTTAACATTTGGTTTGTGCTATATATTGCAGGTGAGTCCTTCTTCAGGGGCGATCCAGTGCGCGGTGGTGGTTCAACCACCCGCAATCCCCACATCATCCCCTTCACCAACAGCGGGAGGGGCACGACGTCCTAGTAGTGCCCTACTGCATCCTGACCATGCCCGTCTTCTCAGAGCACCCAGCTCTCCCGACCAAGCCTCCGTGGAGGATATGAGCGAGTTCCCCGTAGTTTCAATATCCGGCTTCACGGCGTCATGCTCCTCGTCTACCACATCCTCAATGACAAGCGTTGCAGCAGCCGTGACGTCAATGAGTTCGAGAACCTCGGACCAGTGGCTCCAGCAGGATCGGGACAGGCGGAGGAGCTCCACAATGACAGCGCGGTATTCGTTGCTAGACGCACTGGACCTGGAATACGCGCTGCTGAGAGCTGCAGCCAGAGGAAGCGTTGGCCCTTACAGCCTGTCTGAGTCGCTGCATAAACTGACGTTCACACAGAGCCTGGCATTCCCAGCTCTAGCCCGTGGTTTGGCAGGAAAAAGGCGTAGGAGTAACCAGACCAATTCAAGTCCCCTTGATCCGTCTGACACGGGACTCAATGCCTTCGCCAAGGTTATCACCGCATTGGTGCTCATGCTTGTTAGTGTTCTTGTGTTTGGTGTGGTGTATAAATATGTGAGGACGTGAGGATTGCTTTTGTCCCCAGTGCCGGGACATAATTCCGCTACTGCTACTGATGGTCTACCTACTAATTTCACCTCAGTGTTTGGACGAAGAGGCCACAATATCTCCTAGCGAGAGACATGGCTTTTTCTCATTAATTACTGTGAGCTACGTGCGTGATTTGCACAGCAGCGCTCAATATTATGCGCATTTCCTGTTCTATCAACAGATTGTGGGTGTGGATATTTGTTGAGTGGTTGTTGATGGCGGTGTGGAACTAAATTCTCTGAGATTAATATCATCCGATAGTTGCGTTTGCGACTAATCTCTTCGTTATGGGCTTATGCCTGTTATGTTCTTTAACAAAATGAATATGTTTTTGCTATGACAAATATCTCTAATGTTTCACTGTTAGAAAACTGTTTTACATATTATATATTTCGAGTGTTGATCTCGTATATTAACTTAGTAATATATATGCACTATTCGATGAATCTCAGGACAGACTTAATTCATTTTCAGCCGTATTCCAATCAGAGCTAAATTATTTCGTTGAAATATAACATGATACATCATAAATTATGGCATAAATTAAGTAAAAGTAAAGCTATCACTGTAACAGGCCGTAGAGGCCCATAGGGTTTTGAGATGTTGAGGTCTCCACATTTTCTAGACAATCGGCTCATAGATGGCCGTAAGGTTATCAGCCTTACGCGCCGGCAGCCCTTTACCCCAAGAATATTCCAAGAATATTCCTGGTACTCATTTCTGTTAGAGACTGAGTCGACCCCAGGGCCATGAAATGAGTTAATATCTTTAAACATATGGAAAGTTTAAATTTAATAAGTATTTTCCTTCTCCTTTGCTTTGAGTCTATTTGCTTATTGAAAGAAGTAAAAGTAAGTAAAGCTGACCCTGTACCAGGCCGTGGAGGGCCATAGGGTTGTGAGACGTTGAGGGTCCCACACTATCTAGACAACCGGCTCAGAAGTATTTAGAATAAATTGTATTGAAAAGCGTTTTATAGGCGTCGGAATAAATGTATTCTTCAATTACATCTAGAAAATAATACAGTATTCTAAAACTAAAACATTAATTTGTGAATTCATGTTTGAAATTACCGTATTATTAATTTATGTATAAGACAAATAGAGGCTGAGAATAATGCCAGTAAAAAAGTAGGAGCAAGTTCTGGCACCGCACATCGCCTAATTTATTCACGTCATTAATCGTGGGTAAAGCAAAGTTCGAGTACAAAGCAGAAATGGAAGGCGCCACGGTTTGCTTCCTATAGATGCATAGTGCAGCATTTTGTGAATCCTGCGGGTACTGGAATTATAAGGTTGCCGCATTCTTCTGCGGTAGTATTTTAACTAACCGATATAAATTACTTGCGATAGAAGATGAACCAAAGAGGCAGTCCTCTTTATAATAAAGTTTAGTTAAAACCGTTACATATTTACAGCCTCATACAGACGTACCCACGGCAGGCTACTGCACAGTGACAGTATAGGTCTAATTTATATACTGTACTGCCATTATAAGCTCTCCTGCTTTGTATACGGGATGTTCGAGGTTTAATGTCGGCCCAGGGACTGGCTGCTTCTGCCTTGGGATTTTTAGGCTGTTCCTCAGTCCCGCCAGTCTATATCCGGTAAAGTATCTCAGATTGAGTCACCACTTCCTTTCACATCTATTCCAGTTCATTATTAACAAAACTTCTCATCATTCGGTACTATATAATCTCGACAACTGACAGCGTCTCTAATTAAGCATTTGGATTAAATTATGCAATTATAATACTTGAAATCAAAACAGTTCTTGAGAAACTGCGTTTGGATTGCACTGGTCTGCGATGCATCCGTTTTCTGGACAGCTAGAAGTGTTTCATAGTAATCCTGGTATGCTGAATCCAAAAATGACATCCATTTTTGTCCCTCACATATTTTATTTGCAGGATTTCTACTTTTATGAGGGCGATAACTGTACTCCTAGCAGTGTGGCCGCCTATGACTACGGCTACTATGACGAGCCTCTTCACTTCACCCATAAAATGCCTGCCGGTCTATCTTTACCTCAGTAATTACTGACAAAAAAATGAAATTTATTTTAATATTCTTCAAATGTAGGATATGATCCTGCACTTAAGGCCTACTCTCTACGCCATAAGTATATATAATTGATTCCAATGGTCTTGTATTTTATGTATAGAGTTGTTATTTTAAAGAAAAATATTTTCCAGGAATTCAAATGTATCTTAAGCCTTCAGTTATTTTTTACATAGGTGATGCACTAGTAACGTAAAACACTGTAGTCTTGCAGTAAGTACGTGTACACGTGCACAGATTAGTTAAGAATAAACCAGTTTATTCGAATCCGACATCTTCTCTATACCGTATTAAATTATGGTTAGAGTATTTTTGTCACACTCGAAGTCAGAGAGCGGCAACGGTAACTACGTAACTCTACGCAAGTACCAGCTGCAATCAATAGAAGTCAAAATCAGCCACTCAGAGCGGTATTAAATGATAAAGGCAACTGTTAGATTCATTGGTCAGACAGTTTTAATAATGAGTATTCTCTTTAAATCATTTCTTACGCATGCTAATTTTCGTTAGATGTGCATTTCAAATTAACGAATAGATTTACCTGCTAAAGTAAAGTGAAACCGTGATTTTGTAGCAATATCTTTTTCAAATAATTATATTAATTGCAATAATTTTTTAATCTCCAACGCCTTTTTAACTGCTTTCTTTTTACATTTCTTAAAATTTCAATGTAACCTTTTGAGCTCAATTTCTACATAATTTGAAATCTTAATCTATAGATGTATTATCATATCCTGTAACACTTTATTTCAAGCAGTGCCCAAGATGCTCAATACGTTAGTGTTTATGGCCAGCCGAGGTCCCATGCTCGGAACAACATTTTTTCTCCTGACTTTGGTCAGTGTATGCAACTTAACGATGAACATTATTCGTTTCAATGCAGTTATTTACGTTCTAAATTAACAGCACAAAAGCCAGTAATAAAGTGAACACGAGTAAAGAAAATAAAAAAAAAATACATACAAACACAATGACAAACAGAAGGCAATTTATAAAATTTTAATAATAACAATAATAATAATAATAATAATAATTCCGTTCTAGAAAACAGAAATTAACTTCTGTGGGGATTCGTGAAGCTGACCACGCGACACCATCTATCCGCTAAAGTTGGCACTGACTTCGCCGACAGGCGGCGGTCGCTCAGTCGATATAGTTCACTTGCGGACTAAAGCCTCCATGGAGAAATAATAATAATAATTATTCAATTCTTCAGTTCTTGTTTATTTACGTGCAAACTTAACAGCACAGAGGCCAATTACAAAGCTAGCACGAATAGAAAGAAATACACAAAAATAATTAAAAAACAAAATACAAAATAGGATAGTCTATAAAAATAATAATAATAATAATAATAATAATAATAATAATAATAATAGGTGGTCATTAAAATGTTGCCTTAATTTCGTGGTCTGGCTGTACGTGGACGGATATGTCTTTACAAGGTGAATATCAACACAAAATTTTCTCATTGCACCGTGTGAAGGAAATGAATCATATAAAATTGTGCTTCATTTTCACTAATGTAATTTCAGTCTATTACTGAATAATTGTTCGAGACTCTTCCCAGTGAAGACTTTTGTTCAGTGTTCGAAATGGAACAGAACCAACTCAGTTTGACTGTAAGGCCAAAATATCATGGTTGATTTGTCTCCAGAGTCAGTAAGCCAAAAATAATTGCATTTCAGAGTGCTGTATTCTGGACTATACCACCTTTAGTCCGATGAAAGCCAACTCACGTTTTCAGAGGAACGTCTCGTCCGGTCTGGTCTGCATCTTCAGGTTCGAAGACTAAGCCAAGCAAGAAGCCAGTATAAAGGAAGTAGCAAGCTGTATGACTTTCAGCGGACTACAAGGGCGTTAATGTGAGAACCTCATTTCCTGCAGAATTACGTCTTGGAAACAAAAATTGCCAGCGAACACATGCAGATAAAACTGTATATTTTATTTCATACACTAGACACGACCATGTGGAATTCCTTATAAATATTTCCGGACAACCAGAATTGAAAAATGGTGTTTCAAGATAATTTAACTGATGAAAGAATTCATCAGTGTGGACAGCACAGATAATTCTGTTCGCGTTCGTTGAAGAAATATCTAGATATTTACGTTTTTATTGGTGTTATTATAAAAGTCCGTTATGGTAATAAATTTTCCATGTAAGATTTTTTCCCCATTTTGGGAATAGCCATTATAAAGCATAAGAATGCAGCACGATAACAAAGTATATTTCATCGTGTATTACTTTTAAATTTATGAAACGTTTTTAAAGAAGAGTGTAATTTAAATTCCACGTTTCATTGTTAAGAGCGTAAAATAAGAAACTGCTTGTAATATTTTATTTGTGGATGCAGAACATTTGGACTGTGAAGCTTTTAAACTTTTGCCTAATTTCGTATGATTATATATGGAGGTTTAACAGAATTCATCTAATTGTCCAGAAATTCGATTTTTCATTGGTGTTCTTCAAGTAATACTACAGTGAACTGGCATTTCTGCTGTGCATGTGTGTGTGTGGGGGGGGGAGATAGAAACTTTGACATGATACCTTAATGTTATTGTGGTTTATTAAAATATGTTGACATACCTACGGGATTTGTAGTTTTTAATTTAAAGGTTTTAACTCAGATTCCCGGTTATATGTTTATGTGCTTCCATGCGGTCAAACTGGGACGTTTATTGGTCAGTTCGACTCCATTTCGAACTCTTTATGTATAAGAATTTTTAACGCTATGTTATTAATTAAGGCTGTTAGAATATTAATCATATTACATTCGTATAATACATTTTTAAAATCTGTAAGACATTATGTATTTTATTGGCTCATAGTTAAGGAAAGCTGCATAAATAAAATGGACATAAAACATTGTTTTGGCAAATATTATACACAGTGCAACAAGTAATGACATTTAACATAAGAAATTCATATATCCTTATGCGAAAAAAAGGGTTTGAATTTTATGATTCATTATTTTGGTTATTTACATCTCTTCCAAAAAGCATTGTATTGTTAATAGTGCTTTAAATGTGTTAGGTTAGGTTAGGAACGGAAGCGACTGACAACATTCATTGGCCGTGCAGTGTTTACAGCATTTTGACCTTTGTATTGATCGAGTTCGTTAAATGAACTGAGTTGAAATTGCCTTCAGTGTAGGAACTTAATCTTTCTCATAGACAAAGCATTATCTTGCAGCAACAACGTGTCTCACACAACAATATCGTATCTGTTCCAAGTCAATACAGAAAAATCATATCTCTTTCAGACAACTCGTCAGACATGGAGACCATATAAAAGCACGCGGGTTTTGTTTTTATACCTCCGTCTTCGGTTTTTTCCTAACACTTAATTACTTCTCTTCAACTCCTCAAAATTTTGTCTCCATTTTCTTCTGCTGAAACCTTTTCCGTCTTCTCTCTTCCTCTTTTTCTTACTTTCCCTTTTCCCTATCACCCTCCCATAAATTCTCATTACAACTTTTATTTTCAGCTAGATTATCTTGATTATGTTATTGTGAAGATAAAACAAGTAAGAAAAGTATTTTAAG